ATCGATACACATTATCAAGAAAGAGTCTTGCTGTGTCTTCGCTTGACGATGTCTTCTTGCAAGGGACAAAATGCGCCATCTTTGTAAGCCGATCTACGACAACAAAAATGCTGTCAAATGAATTCGATGGTGGTAGATCCGTAATAAAGTCCATGGAAACCGAAGACCATGGTCGGCGCAGAATAGGCAATGGCTGTAGAAGTCCATAAGGCCGATGTGGAGGGTTTTTGGATCTTGAACAAATGTCACAAGATACAACAAAATCTTTCACATCCTTCCACATTTGAGGCCACCAAAAATCGCGGGAAATAAGTTCTAAGGTCTTATTGAATCCAAAATGTCCCGCAGCTGGAAAGTCATGACGAGATTGAAGAACTCAGAGTCGTGTTGGCCCTTTTGGGATATACAACTGCTCTTCGAAATATACTAGGTCTCTTTCCATCTTGAATTTATCATTACTAGCATGTTGCTTGATATCAAGGGCTAGAGAATCTTCAATGGTTGCGGCCCGTACCTGGTCGAGGAAGTCAGCATCAATTGGTACAATAGCTGCGTTGAGCCGAAATTTCTCTGGCTTCAACAATGTCGTGCACTATTGATCAAATGCTGCATCTCCAGCCTTTGGCGCGAGATATGATCTCCTTGATAATGCATCAGACAACCCTTGTTGCTTCCCAGGCCGATAAGTAATAACAAAGTCGAACCTGGATAGCGACATACTCCATCGAGCTTGACGCTGATTCAAAACCCGAGCCGACATAAAATACTCCAAATTCTTGTGATCCGTATATACGGTCACTGGATGTGCAGTTCTTTCGAGAAAGTGGCGCCACTCTTGGAAAGAATCTACTATAGCAAGGAGTTCCTTATCGTGGATCTCATAGTTGATCTCAGCAACAGAGAATTTTCGAGAATAGAACGCAACTGGATGGAGCTTCTCATCTACGCCCATCTGTGAAAGTACAGCTCCCAAAGCAAAACCCGAAGCATCTGTCTCCAAATAAAAGGCCTTTGTAAAGTCCGGATGTACCAAGATTGGAGCTGTAGTAAATACCATCTTCAAATCTTGGAATGCTTTTTCTGCGATAGGTCCCCATTCGAGCTTGTCCTTGCACGTTAACCGAGTGAGGGGGGCAGTAACTTGAGAATAATTCTTGATGAAGATCCGATAGTAGTTAGCAAATCCAAGAAAACATTGTACGTCCCTAACCGTCTTCGGAACTTCTCAAGTCATGATTGCTTCTACCTTCTTTGGATCCATCTTCAATCCTTCCGTAGTCGCGATGAATCCCAAAAACTCCATCTCAGTTTGGTGAAATAAGCACTTCTCCAATTTGGCATAGAATCCTCGCTCCCGTAGTTTTTTGAGTACCAGACGAACGTGCTTCTGATGTTCTTCCTCGTTCTTAGAAAATATCAAAATATCATCTAGATAGATGACAAGAAAATCGTCTAGATGCTCTCGAAAGATGTCATTCATCATGTGTTGAAAGACCGCTGGAGCATTAGTAAGACCAAATGGCATGACATTGTATTCAAAATGGCCATACCTTGTTCGAAAAGCTGTCTTCCATTCATCTCCTTCCTTGATTCGCACAAGGTTGTAAGCTCCCCTTAGGTCAATCTTTGTAAAGATCCTTGCACGCCCAAGTTGTTCTAGAAGACCAGAGATCAAAGGCAGTGGATAGTGATTCTTTTTTGTCACCTTGTTGAGACCTCGATATTCCACGCACATCCGTAGTGAGCCATCTTTCTTCTTCACAAATAAGATTGGTGCTCCAGCTGGCAACTTCGAATGACGGATGAAGTTCTTGGCTAGATTCTCGTCAATGTACTTCCGCAACTCAGTCAACTCCGTCTGCGACAAATTGTAGATTGGTCCAAAAGGTGGTTGTGCTCCTTCTTGCAATTCAATGGCACAATCATAGGGTCGATGCTCTGGCAGCATATCAGCATTCTTCTTTTCAAAGACATCTTTGAATTCTTCATACTGCTTTGGAATAACCAAAGTCGAAGTTGCATCTTCTTGAGTCGGAGTTGCGAAGATGACAAGAGGTGTATTTTGCTTGGCTTCCTTCATGAAAGCCCTTGCACCTATAAACAAGGATTTGTTTCTAGACATTGTCTTGGCAGATTCCACCTTCAAGGAGTTTGTTGGAAATGTCACTTTCCGCAACTTCCAATCTATCAATGGATTATATCTATCAAGCCAAGATAGTCCCAAAATGATAGGACATGAAGGGGTCTTGATAACATTAAACACAATATTGCTCTCATGGTTTTCAAGACGTACCTTCAATGGTTTAGTTTCATGGATAACATTTCCCGAAGACAATGGTCGTCCGTCTATGACTTCTACATGGATAGGCTTAAGTTTCTTTACCAGAGAAATATTGTGAAGCTTGACAAACTCTTCATCTATAAAGCAAGCGGATGCACCCTAGTCTAATAAAGCATCGACTTGTAGTTCTTGAATACCCAGATGTAAAGGTACCATAAAACAATCTGAAGGTTGAGCTGAGAGAAAGGGACCTTGATTAATTTTGGATGTTGAGATGTCCAGCCGCACGGTCCCTATTGTGGCTGGGCGTCCTTGTTTACCTGCATGCTTATACTCCTGAGTCTTGTTGTTTGAGGCTTCTGTTTCTTCCGACAATCTACAACTTTATGGCCCGCTTCTCCGCAATATAAACACAAGTTTTGTTCAAACCGTCGCTTCCTTTCCTCAGCTGTGAGGGGTTTGAAACGTACCGCATCAATTTGCATGGGTTCAGGATCTGTGGAGTGATTCTCTAGACCTTTTGAAAATGTAGCAAATGCTCCATCATTTCTCAAGCCTAATCGTCTTTCTTGTCGTAATTCAAAGAGGCGGTTGTCACAAATAATTGCCTGAGATATAAGTTCTTCTAAAGTATCCGCCTTAGGCATGGTGATCAATAAGTTCTTGACATCATCTCTCAGTCCATATCGAAATCGTGTCATGAACGCCTTATCATTCCAATCAAAATCACATGTAAGCTGTTGAAATTCTGGAGCATAGATTGCAGCAGAACGTGATCCTTGTCGCAGATTTTGTATCTTTCTTTCAGCCACTCTTTCTCGATCGCTATCTCCAAACGCAGCAGTAAGTCTCTCTATGAAAGCCTCTAGGTCGTACAATATTGGAGAATCCTTCTCCAATAGTGGAGCAAACCAAGAGCGAGCATTTCCTGATAGAAGAGTACCTATGAAAGCAACCTGAGTAAATCCATTCGGATAACGAGAAGGGTATAGGCGTAGGTAAAGCCGTACTTGTTGCACAAAACCTCGGAAGTTGGCTCTTGTTCCGTCAAACTTGTCTGGCATACTCGCTTTTGGTTCTTTCGTACTAATCCTTGAAGTATCTATAGGGGTCGTATGTGACACATGTCTTGCTTCTCTCAATCGAACAATGTCTTGTTGTAGGCTATGAATTTCGCGTCTAGCTTCTTCGGTCACTAGATCAATTTGAGGTTCTTTACTTGGATTGCGAAGAAATACAATCTCCTTTCGTACACTATTCATAAGAGCTTGAAGATCTGCAAGAGTTGCCACTCTATTGTCTACTTGTGGAGATGCACTGTTTATGACCTAGTCTACTTCCATATTTAGAGAATAGATGGATTAAAATTTTGAGAGAAGAAGAAATTGCTAAGTCTCTTGGAGAAAATTGTAGCACTACCTGTCACTAAAACCTACTCGGAGAAAAGGAAAAAAAACACTAAACGATTTCAGTTTTAGAGGAGGATAATCCGCAACCTCTACAAATGCCTCAATGCTTTCGAAAAGAGGCGTAATCCGCACTCTATCAAGAAGGCAAAGCTCTGAAATCGATGTTAACAGTCTTTTCTACTAGCTATGCTAAACAAAAAGAAGGAATTAATATCAGTCCAAGAAAGGGTAATCCGCAACCCTTAGAACCCTCAAGTATCTCAAAGGAAAAGGGTAGTCCACTCTCTGCCTCAAAGAACTAAGCTCTGATATTGTGATTGAAAAAATATCAACTTAGAGGAAGGTAATCCGCAACCCCTAAAGCGCTAGAATACCTTCAAGAAGAGGGGTAATCCGCTCTCAAACAAGAAGGATTCAGCTCTCATATTAATATAAAGGGAGTCTCGACAAACTGTCACGGACACAAAATACAGACTTGAAATCTAACAAGAAGTTCAAGAAGAAGTGGCAAAACTAGATTAAATAGATGAGTACAAGAACAACACCAGAAAGGTGAGCTAAAACTCCAAGAGATGTGTTGTCGAGACTGAAGAACTCTTCAGCCTCGACTCCTATATATACTACTGGCCTATAGTTCTAAGGAAGCGCATCAAGAAGCTTCCCAAGAACTATGAAGCTTCTCGAGCAACTACCCAAGAGCTAGGAAGCTTCTCAAGTAACTTCCTAGAATCTATTAGAATATTCTAAGAATCTTCTAGAGCCTTCTAATGAAATCTTTAGGGAATCTTTAAAGAATCTTTAGAGAATCTTTGAAGAATATTTTAAGAGAATATTCAAAGAATCTTTTGGAAGTTTCTAGAGACTTCTTTTTAGAAGGTTCTAGAAACTTGTCTCTAGAAAGGTCTAAGGACTATGTTCCTAACAGAAGCTTTATATGCCATAAGAGGCCTTTTAAGCACAATCAACAACTTTGGGACATGAAATCATAAAGTTAGATTACCAAGGATCTATCTCAGCAAAAACACAATGCAAACTTTGTCTATAAGTGAAAAAATGAGACACTAATACCAAAATGCTCTTAACCACAAGTAAGAGCAAACCATGATCTAGATTTAGATCTGAATCTGAAAGTTAGGTTTTTCCAAAGCTTAACATCAACAACAACAACTTGATTTACTCTACACTTACCAAACAACTTCAAAGAACTTCAAAAATTACTCAAGCAAATGTGAGTTGGTCCGTAACCTATTAAAGAAAAGAAGTCTAAAAGCTACAAACACTTAACATCAACAAGGATTATAGTCTAAGAGAAAGATAATTCTTACTTCCAACACTCTTTACTTATAAATAGTGGTTTCTTCACCAACTAGGCAACTTCCATCCTTTTGATATTACATCCATTTCTACCTCATCCAACTAAACCCTTGGTGCCATCACAATAACTTACTTTAATTCTTTGCTGCCTTTCTACTATTAACCACATACTATGTGGTTGTAACTAAGCAAGTACTTGCTGATTTTCAATAACAATTAGGTATCATGGCACAAAATCAACAGGCACAACTACAGAAGAAGTAAGCAATCTAAATCGCCTATTGTGAATCTGTGAAGACTTTCAAAGAGAGGGTGCTGCAAACCTTGAATCTGCTGCATCTTTGATGCTCGACACACGACATCCTCTTCTTGCTGGATCAATCTCCCCTTACCAACATACCTTGCTTAAAAAGGTCATTAAGGCAACGACACATTCTTCACCAGTCCACCAGTAGTCCACCAGTAATGCAATAGTTTTTTCTAAAACTTTCTTTCTCAGTGAAACCAATAGTGAATGATATCATGACCCACAGATTCAATCACTGCAGAGATCAATAACAGAGGAATTGCTGAGGACTCGTGTTCAAAATCATAACGTTGAGATGTGGCAAACCCCACGTATGGTTCATAAGGCACAATGGGTTCTCTGAAACCATAAATAGTCCAACTAAAATTCGTAACAAAGTTAAAATGGAATCGAGACAATCATATAGATCTTGTTGCAGGAACAAATCAGGAACTTGTAGCTTCTGTAACACTTGGTAGTATAGATGCTAACCCAACGCCCTCACTAGACTCTACAGGTTTAACTAGACTAACAGTCTGAGAGGGTTGGGTATTGAAAGACTTTGGGGTCCGCCTCAAGAAATCGAGTGGCCTGCATTTGTCCGCATACGGATTACATGAGAAATTAAGTATGAAACACCACTATATCAGATCTCAGCCAGCATTGTGAGAGTGAGGTTTGAGCCGGGTGCGAAAATTTACCAGTACATCGCATATTGTAAAAGAATTTATGATTCGCGAAGCGCAGTGCAAACTACGGACTTGGTACATCTAGAAGCATCATCAATTAAAATAAGAACGCAATACACGCACCTCGCGAGCACTCACAATTAACACCCCACTAAGGTGTCTCATAAAATCTGACTATGTTAGCTCGAAACAGAAGCAGAAGAATCAAAGAAAGCCTTTGGTAGTGTTCTGAGCCTCATATAGACTGATAACCAATAACACAATCTTGTAACTGAATGGACGTGTGCAATCTCTACAAAGTGCAAACAGAAGCCCAAAACCCTTCTGCAAGGACGAGACACGCAAGGGAGCGTTCCGGATTTTTCAAACAACATTCCAGGAAAATCGAGAAGCAAATGTCAGCTAAAGTTAATGTCATGCTCCACTAGCCTTCTAACAAGAGGAAAAACTCAGAAAGTCAATCGCTACGCTTGCGCGGATTGAAAAAAAGAAAAAAAAGAAAAAAAAAGAAAAAAGGATAAATGGCCTCAATTGAAGGAAGCATGGTAAATAGGTTACACGGAAGGAATCTCGGCATCGAACGCACAATCACAGAACCCTTGACGTTGCTAATGCTTTGGGTTCACGGTACACAATACGAAAACTCTGTTCCGACGCTTGACCACCTTGCAGTACTCGCACAATCGGCGAACCGCCGCCCGCACCTTCATTGCTGCTCTCCTATTCCTGTCACTCCAATCCTGCACCACTGTAGCTCGAATCTACCGCACAATCGGACTACATCGTCGGCTACCTCAAACTACAAACCCCTCTTAAACCGTCCATTTAAAAGCACCACAAGAACTCAAACTGACAATGCCGAAGAGCGGATCCATAAACAATGGTTTGCAACGAGATAGCTAAACATTGGTCCACAAACCTCAACAGATCACGAAGCCCTTTGTTGGGTACCTGAGGAATCCTTCGCACTGGAATTCGCTGCATGAAATGTGTATTAGGGCTACGGAGTCTCCGAGGGATTGCGGAGACGAATTTCCCACTGCGGATTCTCGTAGTTCCAGCCGATGGCGTCCTCGTCTCCGTCGCTCACGACGGAGACGCTGCACATGGACAACAAAAGACCACCGTTTATTACTTTTACTTTTAGCTACAATAGTGGGTGGTAACGCTTGATGGGGATTGATGTGAAAGATTTTTTGTAGAGAATTCATTAATTATAATAAATATTCTTGCAATATTTGGAAAAAATATTAAAAAAAATATTTTTTTCTATGCATGTTGTATTTTTAATAAAGTCTTTAATTAGATTTTTAAATCTTTTAAAGTTTTTTCTCTATATACTTTTTACTTTTCTCTTCTAATATTATCATAGATGTTGATTTTTTTAAATTTCTATTTTTTCATTTATAATTCTTTACAGTTTATAATTAGGATCTAAAATTTTAAAAATAAATGAACAATGATTTTAATTTATGATAAATTTGTAATAGAATTAAATTATATAATATATAAAAATTAGAAATATAAATGTTACATGTTATATTTTTATAGTTTACTGAAACACATTTTTATATGTTTTAAATAATCTTATGTAGAATATATTAACTTTACATTTTATTTATTAAAATTTATTATATGTTTTATTAATATAAACTGAGAGTCAAATTACACTTTCTAATTTTATGTAAAAGTAGATTTCAGTAATAAAATTTAATTTAATAAAATTTAAATAAATATTAAAAAGTTTTAAAATAGTATTAATTACAATAAGATAATTTTCTAGTGGTGAAACACAAAAATATTCAAAAAAATGTAAATAATAATATCTATAAATTTTAAAAATGCCAAATTTTATTCTAACTATTATATTAATTTTTTTTGTAATATTCTTTGTATTGTATATAAAAAGATTATTTTAGGTCTATGAAATGTATAATTGACATATTAATGATATAAAACATTTTATTAAATCAAGAGAAAAAACATTTGATTTTTTCTATAATATCAATAAATAATAAGTTTATAAGATCCTTATTTTGTGAGCAAAATAATAAAATTTATTTGTGCTAAATTAATTTATGTTTTTTTTATCAAAATCTAAAATAATACATTCCTTCATATTGCAACAAGGACTTGTTACATTATGTTTTGAAAATAAAATATACTATTTATTATCAATTGATTATTTTCTTCATTTACTTATTTTTTGCAAGTATGAAACTTGGTGATTGCACTTTAATATATGGCACATCTAAGCCATAATTTGTGCATACTATTTTTTTTTTTGCTAAACCATCACTAACTTTGTATATTCTTGCTTACAATATATATATATATATATATTACAAAAAATATATATATATATATATATATATATACATATATTACAAAATATATTTAATTTTTTATGTTATGATTTAAAGATGTTAACCTAAAGAGTATTAAATTATGGCTAGAATACAAGAAAGGTATTGACAAGAGTAAAGATGGCTTCAATTTTGCCTCCATATATATTAGCTACCAAAAGATCTTATAGAAACTTCTTAATGATTGCAAGGCTTGTGGCCCAATCATCAAGTTATAGGTTACTTCTAATGTAATTTCATAAAACTATCAAAGTTTAAAGACAAGTTTGTCTGGATTGCTGGTGATAGTATCTGAGCGGCATGAAGGGGATTAAGCAGGACAATGACAATGTTCACTTCACATAATTAACTTCACAGTTTCTCATTGTTGTTCTTTGTTCACGGGTTCACTGTTGTCATTATTATTGTTTTGCACATTTTGTTACTAAGTGATTGCACAGGAACAGCTGAAAGCAATTAAAACAGGTTCAGAGTGCTTAGTTGCTGTTTACTCGAGAGAACGTAGGGAGAGGGAGTGCACACTTTTGACCATATCGACAAATACCTTCAAGATCCCTTGAGAGGTTTTTTTTGTATCTACCCCGACGGTAGCTGCTCTTCTCCCCTTCGCTGTACATTCTGAATTGTTGAAAATATATGGATGTTTACTTTTCTTAAGATGGGTGAATTAACGTGCGTTTGTTGTCATTTCTGGAGGGTGCAGTAGAGAATGTTTTATATGTTTGATATGTTTGATATGTTTGATGTTGATGTTTTACGATGTAGACTTTTTTCTGTTAACTGCCGATAGTCATCTTGATGTTTTCATTTTGTTTGTTGCACTTTGTGTGCGCTGTTGTTGATCAGCTTTAAGAACTGCTTTGTGATTGTTGCACAAATTCCTAGAGAGTGGAGTAGAGTATGTTTCGTATGTTTGATATATTTGAAACACAGGGCTCTTGCAGGTGGATCTTCTCTTATTTTAAACGAGGTGAATTTTACAAGTGAACTCCGTCAATGATCTTAGATTTATCATTGTGTTACATTAGTTTGTTTTATCGGTACTGATTTTGTTCGTGCCCTCCATTGTAAATTCTGTCAGTTGATGAGAAGAGGCCATTGTATGATCAGTATGGAGTATGATCAATAGGGATCAACAACTTAATTGTTTGTAAAATGGTTGCAAGAGATACAGATTTTTAGTTTCCTACTCCACGAGGATCCGATCCAGATTGATTCAAAGTCAAAAAGAGGGAGAATCTGCTTCTTCTTAAGCACTCCTGAAATTGACAAATCATCACTAAAACATGCAGTCTTCAAGAAATTGTTAGGATTCAATTGCATGATCGTTCTGGAGCTAATATACATCAAAGAATTTTTCTCCAAGAGTTGAACATTCTCAGAATAGAAGCACTACATCGTCGACAAATCTAGTCTGCAACTGCCAGCGTCGGACATTGTCAAAATATTGTGCAGCCGCTTCACACTAGGAATCGAAAAGGGTCTGAGATTGAGTGGAATTCAAAAATCCACTTTCCCTTTGTTGTAGGAGCTGGAACTGGCCCACTTTCCTGTACACCAACAGTGAAATACAAACAGATCAAAATAACATTTTGATGTACCAATTTGTATATTCTATGCACAAAAGATGAAGTTTTACACAACCTAAAGTTGAGAAGTACATTATTTATATTTTAAAAACCAGCTATTAATCTAAACTAGCCATCAAGCTCCACTGTTTCATGTCTCATGGTTCAAGTTATGCTTCCGATCCCACTCCCGTCCAGTGTGAAGCGGAGCATGTGTAGAAAAGCACGATATTGGAATCAATACCGTCAATCGCAGTCGCAAGTTTCAAGCATCGATACGGAGCATGTGTAGCTGATGTAAGTTTATTGTGTGGGTGTGATAAACTTTGTAGCTGATCCTGTAAATTAATCTTTCAAGGCAAATATTAACATAGATTAACACCAGCATTATCCTCTTAAACGCCGAGCAACTAGACATCCCACCGATGGTACAAGTCGAGACACATTCCACACAAAGAAAATGTCTTCAAATAAAATGTTTTCGTGACAACTACACTGGTTCAGTTAGTATATATAAAGCTACATCTTAATTATGTATTAATAAGACACAAATATAAGTATGAGTTACAAAATTCTTAAGAAGATTGTAAAATATAATTGTTTGTTGAAAAATAATATTTTATAAAAAAATTATAAGTAAATAATTAAAAATATTATATAAAGTGCATGAAATTTGTCCAAATTTATTACTTTTTTTTTTAGAATGTTTAATAAGAAGACTTAATTGATTCTAACATTAGATGTCAATTTTTTTGAGCATAATCTTTGAATATATACATGCATATATATATATATATATATATATATATATATATAATTTGAAATCTATAAGTCGTCTCTTAAATTTTGATAATTATTTTTAAATGTCAAGAAAGAATAGGAACTTAAAATTATTTTAATATATTTTTGTATTATTATTTGATAGGTCAAATGATAAGCTCTATCTTATTTGAGTATAAAAGCGTAAACACAGTTGCTGTTTTAGATTGTTTGTGTTGTTAAGGAATAATTTGAATTGTATTACAAATATTTTTGTTTTCTTTTGAAAAAATATGAATTACTGTTGTGCTTTTTTAGTATTTTGATGTAAAATTAATTTATTAATTTAAAATAAAAGTATTGATCCTTTTAACCAATAATAAAATTATAAGACAACTCAATACCAAATATCAAAAGAAAAAAAAATTGGATTGCACAAAAGCTAATATGGTTCAAAATATTTACTTTAGATATGAATTATTTGATAAAAAAAAAATTGTAAGAATTTAAGAAATCATTAATCTATTTTTCATTAATTCTTTTTACACATTAATTACAATGAAGTCTTTAGAATAAAAAATACAAAGCGTGTTATTAAATTGTCAAGGACAAAAACATGATAAAGACAAATAAACAAGTGAGACTTTTCTCAAAGAAAGATGAAAAAATAGAAATAACTTGATATATATATATATATATATATATATATATATATATAAAGAAAAGAAATTGGAATGGCTATTGCCAAAAGCTAAGAAAACTAGAGACCCTTGAAACTAGACTAGAAGCAAGAAAAGACTTGACAAGAGTGAAGAAGGCTTCATTCTTGTCTCTATATATATTATCTTACTAGGGGCTATATGGCAACGTTCTATAGGACCTCCAATATGTGTTGACTTTGTAGGACACATGCCTTGACTTATAAAGCAAGTTTTTCTACGTGTGGGCCACATAGTTAGTTTGGTCTTCAAGCTAACAACATGTGTGGCACACGGTTAACTTGTTGACCACGTTTTTAATCCCAAAAACTCAATTAAAGACACCTATAAAGTCAAAGTAGCATCTATAAAGCTTATAAGAAGCTTCTATACCAAATACTATAGAATTAACTTACTTTCACATACTTTTACTTACTTCTACCTATTTCTCTATGTAATTATTGTCTTACATGCATATGTCCGTGACATTACCCCACCTTCTAGGAATGAGTTCCACGAGGAGCGGTAATCATATGTTGAGGAAATCTATGATGCAACAAATTATATTCGCTACATACTCTGATCTTTGTTCTCTTCGAAGATGATTGATAGGGCCTCTCAACCATTGATAGTGTCCCATACTTGGGCGGGAAGATCACCCACTTATTTGATTATTGTTGAGGCCTTCATAACTT